GCATATGCCACAAGCCCATATCTAGAAACACGCCCATACGTTGGCTTCAATCCGACAACACCACAAAAGGCTGCTGGTTGTCTAACACTTCCACCAGTATCACTTCCCAATGATACCACACATTGTCTAGCAGAAACAGCAGCAGCCGAGCCCCCAGATGATCCTCCTGGGACCCGTGACAAATCCCAAGGATTTGCTGTCACCTAATGAATACGAAGATGTATCACCTGAGTAAACCATATTCAATAACAAGTCATAAACTTTACGGCAAATTATTAATTTTCTTACTTAATTTTTATGAACACTAAGAAAAAGTAATTGCACAAAGTAAAAAATTCCCAATGTACCAATATTATGCTCACGGTCACCAGATATGAAGAAATCTACCATCGCTTGAGACTGACTTTAGACACCACTTAGGTCGCTAGCGCAATAGTTACAACAGTACAATGATGCAATACGAGCTGTGCATCGCACCAACTGTATAGACAGTGACTGGAAGTTACCAAGACGTTATTTCTTAATCCTATCATGGACGAGGCGACCAGTCATTTATACTACTATAATTTCTTGTGTGGGATAATAACCTTAACAGTTTGAGTTATTTCAAGTATCAATTGCATACACACTATTTCAACTTCTCGTGCAATCCCTACCAAATGCAACTCGAGATGGTTAAATGCCAAACAACTTATCATCTCACAGAAATAAGCACAATCATTGCAGCACATAATGCAAGTGTGTTACTATATGCTACAAAGTAAGTTTCTTTGCCAATATAAAATCTAACCATACTCTAACCCATGGCGAAATTTCACAAAAGTTAATCCTACATCTTTTAAATGTGATAAAACCTCTAATAATCAGCTGATTCAATTCCAATTACTCCACAGTCAAGCATTTCAGTGCTCAATTCACTTACAAAATTCATATCTTCTCAGAATTACACACCAATATTGAACTTAATTATTTGAAAAAGAACATTGAGTAATAAAAAGATTCTAACTTGATAAGCAGAGCCTTCTGTAGTACTCCCCATACCAAACTCATCCAAATTCGTCTTTCCAACAACAATTGCCCCAGACTGTTTCAACTTCCTCACTGCCGTGGCATCAAATGGCGGACGATAATTTTTCAATATCCTCGACCCTGCAGTCGAGGGCATATCGGAAGTACAGATATTATCCTTAATTCCAACCAAAACCCCAGCAAGTGGACCCAGCTGTTCATTGTTCTTAATCTTATTATCCAATTCCTCGGCCTGTTTCAAGACGACATCATCAGGAGAGACATAAAGGAAGCTGTTCAACTGGGGCTCGGTGCGGCGGATGCGGTCGAGGAAGGACTTGGCAAGGTCGACGGCAGTGGTCTGCTTTGTCAAGAGGGATTTACGGATAGTCAGGATTTGGGAGGATGGGGCGGTGGTGGTGGGAAGGGGTGAGGATTGGGCGGTGTGGAGGCTATTGATAGGTCGGAGGAGACAGTGGCTAGGGAAGCGGACCAGCCGAGGTGCGTGGGCGGAGGATAACATTCTGGCTGGGTTGGGACCGAAATGAAGTAGAGAGAACTTAGCAAAGGTTTCTCCTTTGTACAGTGGCATTTGGTTCAAGTCACAACTACTTTGAGCATGTTTGGATGAGGTTATAAGTTACTTATAAGCAGCTTATTTCGGAGGCGAATGCCTAGGAATCCGAGAATTGGTCTACATTGGACAAGAGCCAGATGATGACAAGACGAATCATCACTTCACGCATACACCGAAAATACGGCATAACCACACCCTTTATAAATAACAATCATAAAATTAATCCCCATATG